GATTTGGGCTGTACTCAGCAAGCGCAGTATAGCCCCGAAATCAGATTTGAAAAAAAATCAGTGGATGRCTGTTTTCTGACTGGTCGGCAGTCCGCCGATCGGTTGGCCGTCCTGGTCGGCTGCAACACCGTCGGCGGTCGGCGAGTATGCAACCCTGGCTGGATGTCTTTTTTGAAGGGCTCCCATCTTTAGTCCCTTCTTCCCATGGGGCGAAGGAAGTTGCGAAGGTCTTTCCTCGGTGTGGTGGTGGCTGGAGGTTTGTTCTGGACACCAGCTCTGTTGCTGCTCTTTGCCATTATTGGCAGAGTCGGTGGCAGTCATGATGCTGTTCATTCCGGGGGGTGACGGTCGTAGTCAGTGGCAGTTGGGATGCTGTTCGTTCCGGGTGGTGGTGGTAGTGCCGATCACTTGCCACAGTTCCAGCACTGCCATCCATAGGGGTGTGGAGTTTGAGTCCGGTCTCACGATGCTGTGTTTGGTCTTTCTTGGCTGAAATTATGCTTAGTGTGCACTTAGTGTCCATCCTAACGATGGGGTCTCCGTCCTCGAGAGCTTCAATTGGGGCTTCATGGGTATAACGAGGGTTAGAAAGGGTTTAAGCTTTAAGGACATGCATTAGGAAAAATGTTTTTTCTTCTTGTTCTTTTTGTTTTTATTTTTATTTTATCTGGAACTCTGTATAGAATTTTCATATTGCATAACTATATGAAAAAGGGTTTCAACTTTCAATTGGGTTTTCAGGGGTACAAAGGGGGTTTATACTGCCAGTACATGGCCGCGGCCTCACAGAAAATGTTTTGTCTCCCACCCCTAAAAATTTTGCGCCTTGGGCCTGCCGGACCACAATGGCTGGAGGAGCCAGCCAAAAAAGAAAAGAAGTGCGCTGCTAGTGTTTGGTGAACCAAAAATGATTTTGCCTAAACAAATAAAAAGGATATGCAAAAATAAACTAGTTTGGACTGGCGGTTCGGCAAAGCTTGGCGCGCAGTGGAGCGCCTCCAGGKCCGGGTGTACCAGAGGTCTAAAGAGTACAAACAGGAGCTCAGTAAAGAAATTCCGTATTGCATAACTCGAGGGTTTCGATTGGGGTTTCAAGGGTACAAATAGGTTTTAAACTTTGAAGGGATTTAAATTTTAAAGGCCTGCACATTAATGTACAAAAGATTTTCTTCTTTCTTGTTGCTCATCCGGAAACCAGTAAAGATAATTTTTTTTAAAACCTCTGCCAAGTGTTTGTTTGTGTTGCACAACCGCCTTTCACCCAAATTTTTCAAAATTTGGACCATTTCTCGATTTATGTGTCATCCTTGTGCAGGGGCCATGCTAATCTTCTCATCGTTCCAATTTTAACCGACGTTCCGATTTCTTAATTCATCAAAAAGCTTAACTTTGTGCAACACAACGTCCAGGTAGTCCAACAGGCTGTCCAGTCAGGAGCACCGGATCAGGCTCTGTGCAGCTTAAAAGGGCCTTCCAGACCTGGAGCCCGGTAGCAACCATGTCTGAATCCAACCGGCGATGTCTGCTGCACATGTGCAAGTCGACAGGAGCACCGGATCGGGCTCCATGCAGCTTAAAAGGGCCTTCCAGACCTGGAGCCTGGAAGCAACCATGTCCGAATCCGACAAGCGATGTCTGCTGCACGTGTGCAAATCGACAGGAGCACCAGATTGGGCTCCATGCAGCTTAAAAGGGCCGTCCGGACCTGGAGCCTGGTAGCAACCATGTCTCAATCCGACCAGCAATGTCTGCTGCACATGTCGAAATCGAATGGACAAGACAACAGCCCGAACCACGTAGCAATAAAAATTGGAGAATAAGAATTAACTCAATTAAACCACAAAGCACTTTATGTGGCATACTGCGCAGCCACACGGGCCTGCAGGGCCCGACCAGCGTTCGCAGCCTAAAAGCCTGAAAACAAGGGCTTACAGGCCCTGTGTCGTTTCAGCCTGAAAGCCTGAAAACGAGGGCCTGCAGGCCCTATGTCGTTTCAGCCTAAAACAGGGCCTTCCAGGCCCTGAGTCTTTTAAGCCTGAAACGGAGGGCCACTTTCGGGCCCTCATAAGATCGACCTGCCCTGACATTCAGGCACCAAACCAGGGTTTTAGGAACAGGCTATTTTTGGCCTGTTCCCACGCCAGCCTCAGCAGGAGCTGCAGCGCCAGGCCCTGGCTCGTTTTGGCATTGGCAAGAGCAGCCTCCTGGACTGGCCCGCCCTGCAACTGCAGGCAGTCGGAGGCAGTCAGGAGGCAGGCCGAGGTAGTACATAGGGAGTTCCCATGCACTTCACAGGCAGGCAGAAGGCAGGAGTAGTCTTCAGGATTCGGCAGCAGCACTCTGGAAGAGCGCTGGTAGGAGTAGAGTAGTGTTGGAGAGAGAGATGGCTGGCGGAGGCCAGGGAGACTTACCTGTGGCGCCATAGCTCCAGCTTCATCTTCGA